AAAACTAGCACCGACTAACACCAAAGCAGTTATACGACCCAAAGGATTAAAAGTATACGTGTAAAATAAACAAAACCGTGAAAAGAGTGAAAAAATAAAGTTTCTAACGGTGGGAATGTGAACGCTGATCTCCCTTGCATTTCCATAATGAACACCACCATTTGTGGCAACCTCATTTTCACGGACTTATGGTAAGAGCTGATCCTCTTCTCCATGCCTCCACGAAGACTGCCTTAATTTGAAAGCGACTCTAAGGCCAAGTGGATGATACGATACAGCATAAGCTTCATACCAATTAAAAATATATCAGAACAGTAAGACAGAAGGAACGAATGCAGAGTTCATGAAAACGGATTCGCAGGCAGATGACTAATAGGTGAAAAAATGATATGTAAACGTTGAAGTCAGGAAGACTGGACAGATCTAAGCGGTATGCTTTCCCTTTCTGCAGATTCTCTCAGAGCCTGAACAACCTGCGGGTTCATATTCACTCTACTCTTCAGTTGTTGCGCAGGGTGAGACGTCTCCACAATCTGAACTGGAACCACGAAGTGCATTTTAAAACAAACTGGTGTACGGGCCTAGAGCTTCACAGATTTACAACAGATCTCACTACCGGATCTACCACGATGTTACGATATTCATATATGAAGAACGATCTGCTCCGGGAGCAAGCTACCGAACATAATGTAGTAAACGTAGGTCTCTGTTTTACGAAGAGAAAAAATACAACATTAAAGCATACATTACTGAAGGTAGAACCCGGGTCCTGAGAAAGGGCACCTTTCTTTTAGAGGATGGCAAATATATTTAATAAACAGTTTAATGGTATAATTTCAATGACTATGTAAAGGTAGAGAAGAGTGTTTCCTTCTTCAACCGACAATCAGTAATCGCAATGTTCTTTATGCTAATCGAGAGTAGGACGGAACATTGTTGAAGCAATTAGAATGGTCAAGAATCAGGCACAATAACGTTGCTTTACTTCGTACCTTTGCGTTAATCATTAATCCAAATTGAGAAGGATAGCTGTTGCTGTCATTGTTGCGTGACAGAGAAAACGTGGGCTCAAGGTCAAGTCAAAAAAGTGTGTTTTCTGCAATTGTCAAAACACTGATAATCATACTGTCGCATGAATGGAGACCGAAATGAGGACTCATCTGAAGAACAACCGCCGCTTTTTCATACCTTTAACCTGGCTGATGAAGAGGTAGCTGCCGTTCTTTCGTGGACTGAGGTTTTCGATGTGGAAGAGACATCAAACAGATCTCTACCAACCCACAGTGACGATGACGATGACGATGACAAAGGAGGTAGGGAGGTAAAAAGTGGCATGACCGTGACTGTGACAGCGACAGATGTGTCATGCTCCTTTCCGGTAGGATGTTGACAACTAGAATTTAGCAGACAAGGATGCAGAGGATTAGGTATACAAGAGTATGATCAGTAAGCGTATCGAGCAAAACCACTGTATTACTGAATCGGAGGATAAATGAGCTTCGGTTCATATAATAACGGTAATGAAATGGTAAATGACCACTCTGGACAGTAACACAGACATAATAGCGACAGACCTGACCTTTGACTCAGGAAAGTGACAAGACGATAGTTGTGAGTTTGACGAGTGTGTGATTTCAAATGTGTGATGTTGAACAGAGATGGCGGCGGAGCGTCGAACAGCGACTGCCGGTAAAAACAGGAACTGACGGAAGCGAGGAAGGACCACACGCTTACCATCGCCTTGCGAACTGACAGGGAGACGACGAAGGTTCAGCTGATACACGACGGACAGACGGGCGGAGGAGGAGGAACGTAAACAAATGACACACAAACACACCAGCAACGATGCTTCATAGTAATATGGCGATGAAATATGTACTGACAATACAGAACACAGGCGACGACGACGACAACGACAAAGCATCGGTCGGTCGATGATCGTTTTTGCCTTTATTGTACTTACCGAGCTCGGTGTATAATGCACGATCGGAGACTGTATGACGGGAATATGCAGAAGACACACACCAGGTGTGCCGGATCCAGGAACGGAGCCGGGACCGGGGCCAGGGCCGGGGCCGGGGCCGGGGCCAGAGCCGGAGACAGTAGCTCCGGCGTGCAACTCGTTAGCCGACGTTATAAGGGCAGTAGCGACGGCTGCGGCCGCGCTGTTGTTCGCGTTACCGCCGACCAACGTGCTGGTGGTCGCGATGCCTCCTGGCCCTCCTGCTGATGGTGCCGCGGTTCCCGGTCGAGTCAACGAGGAGGTCGTCGTCTCATCGGCGGCCGCCATCCAACGCGATCATCACTAGCAAGCGAGTTGTCTCCGACCGTTCGTCCGTTCAGCGACCACCACCCACCAACACCACTTCTTGCTATTACGGTGGTGGCAGAGCGATGGAAGTACGGCTGACGGCTGACAGTAGTAATTACGGTAGTAGCGGCAATAGTGAACAAGTACTCGGTCCGTAGTAATGAACGTAAACTTTACACGCACCGCGCCGCCTCGCAACAGTACGCTTACCGACGACGACGACGACGATAACGATGACTCATAAATAGTTGTAAAAACAACAAGAATTCTTCATTTTGTCAGAAGCAGCGGCGGCGAAGGCGAAATTATTTCATTATGTCATAAGCAGCCGCGCGGGCGACTCAGTAGCATGAAGCCACAGTCTACCGTCGATCGTCGATGGCGGCAAGCGCCTATTAGAGCGTAACGTAGCAGCGCGTTTCGGATTG